CTTCAGCTTCTTGTACTCGCGACCGTCGGTGGGGCGGTCTTCCTGGCCGTCGTCGCCCGCCGTCAGCAGCGTGAGCTGCGTGGGCGGCAAGCCCCCAGTGCGCGGCTGAAGCTCGCCTCAGTCGTCGACGGGAATGCACCAGTGCCTGGCGCAAATTCCTGGTCGAAGAGGACGGCGCAAGGGTTCCATGCGATCTTGCGGCCGCCTGGTTCAGGGAAGGCGAGGCGCTCGCGGTCAACGCCTGCCTCCACCGCCCCGTAGTTGGACTGCGAGGACTGCAGACCTAACCCGGCAAGGAGGTCAGCGCCCGCGCCCTCTACAGCTGGTGCGCGCCTGCTGTGCCGACTGGTCGCGCCATCGCGGGAAGTCGTCGCAGCGGGGCAGTGAACCGCCCAGTTCGCCACCTGTCACACGTTGCTAACTCCTGCCGCGCACAATGGGACTGGCAACTTCTCCTCGGAAGGCAGCAGCCTCGCCCTCTGGGACTTGCGCGCCAAATTCATAGCGAATGGCAGCCGCCGCAGGTGGGTCCAAACGCCGGCGTCGACTATGATGCCCAAGCGGCCGCCTGTTAGATCGGTGATGGCCATGTAGCACGGCGGATCGCTCGATGCACTGGGGCCTGTGCCCGACGAAGTCGGCCACCCCAGGGGGTCGGCCTGCATGGCGGCGCGCGCAAGTCCACGCGGGCGTCGCAGGGCGCCACCGTGTCCACTGCTGACGCGAAGCTGCGCGCACTGCCCGGCGACTGCATGAGGTCTGGCCGAGACGTCCCGGGGCCAAGGACCGGTCGCAGAGACTGCGCCATGTCCTGCAGTGGCGGGGTCTCCTCAGGCACGCCCCTGTCTGCTGCCGCGCGGGCCGATGCCGCTCGCTGGGCCCGTCGGCGGGCGATCTGCATCTGTGGCGCGAAGATTGGCGACGGCGTCGGCCGGGCCGCAGCGCGCCGGACAGTGCACCATTCGGGTGTCTATGTTCTGCGTCAGATGCAGATGGTACGCATGGTGCAAGATGAAGCGGCACTGTAAACGCGCCACCCCCTCGCCGTGCTGGAAGGCCTCGAGGCAGATGGGGCACTGCCAATCGTCGCCAATGAAATCCGCGACTGGGGCAGGCTCCGCAGGCGCTGCGGCTGGCGCAGGAAGAAGATTAATCGAGGTTTCTGTCCACCTCTGTGCGGCCTGCGGTCGCTGCTCGTCCCCCTGCCGTGCGAGCTCACATGCGTGCTGTGGAGCTCATCGAGGTGTCGTCGTTGCGCGCGGTCAAAGGCGGCGTCCGCGTCGCGCTCGGAGTGGCCGCCGCTGGCCACCTGGGTCTCGCGGCTGCCGAACCGCGTGGCCACTCTCCCTGGCGGCCGGCACGCGTCGACGGGGCTGGCCCAGCTGAACAGAGCCAGCTCCTGGGGCGACCGACTCCGGCACTGGCGGTGACGCAACTGCCCGCGCCGACTGCGGCGGCCGCGTGGGGCGGGGCCCCTTTGGGGTGCCGACGCCGAGGGCTGGGACTGCAGGCGCGCATGCCCAGCTCGGCAACTGCACGTCGGCAGGCGGGGCTGGAGGCGCGGCGACTCGCGCGCCGAGGTCGCCTACCCAGTCGCGCCCCTGAGCTTGCCCCCGTGGGAACGCACCGCCCACTCGCGTCCGCCATTGCGGCGTTGGTTGCGGCGGTGCTGGCGAAGCTGCTGGGGCTGCCGATGCTGACGGCGCGGCTGGCGCCGATTCCCCCGCCGCTGCCGCGCAGGCTGGTGGCGCTGCCGCAGGGCCCGCTGGTTGTGCGGAGTCTTGCGCGCGGCCCATGAGTTCCGCGATCTCCTGCCGTCGTCGTCGCAGTTCGGCGTCGCGAGGGTTGGGTGGCGACGAAAGTGGCGATGGTGCGCCCACCCGCCGCGGCCGCTAGCCGTGCCCGACTCGTTGCCGGGATCCGCCTGACGAGGCGCGCGGGGCGGGTGCCGCGCCGCCGCTGGCCGCGGCGCCGGCGCTGCCAGAGTCGGTTGCCCGCCGTTCCATGGGGCCTGCGCTCTGCGTGGGATCACCTTCCCCGGCGCCCGGATCCAAGGGTCGCGGAGTCCCGCAGGCGCCCCTAGTCACGCGCGCCGCGTGCGCCCCTGGCACGGGTTGCTGATCGGACGATTCTGGCTCCCCCTGCTGCCCCGGAAGCGCGCGTGGCGAGGATGTTAGTTGGCGGCGCTGATGGTGCTGGGGCGAAGGCGTCGAAGCAGAGAGCGCGCCCTTGGCTGCTGCGCTGGGGGCAGTCGCGCACGCGGTGCTCCTCAGAATCGCACTCGCGGAATTTGAGACGCACCCCGTCAGGGCCCATGGGGTTCCCTTGGCGGCTTGAACCCACGCCGCTGGCCCTGAGTTGCCCCGTGCCCTTCCCGGCCCGAAGCCCGCGGAAGCACCCCGGAAGTCGTTTTCGGGCAGGTCGGCAAGCAAGGAACGGCAGCCCTTGCCTTGGCCCGTGCCCTTCCGTTGCGTGGCCCCCCCGAAGCGGCAAGGGGGCTCGCGGTTGTCGAAGATGCGCCAGCGTGCCTCGGGCCGCTCGCAAGCCCAGAATTGGCGCGCGCTGCGTCGTTCAACGGGAACGTCGCGCAGCTCGGGGTCGTCTGCGGCAGCGCCTTCGCCGAGTGAGCTGACGGCGTCGGCGCGACGCCTGCGTCGACACTTGCTGCTGGGAGTGCCCACCTGAGCTGGTGACGCCACGCTGGCGTTGCCGGCGGTTGCCGGGCAAGTGGGCTGGGCGCCGCCCCCGCGCGGCTGGGCCCATGCCGCCCCGGCCCGATCCAGCCGCAGCGCCACGGGCGCCGTCAGCTTGATCTCGCGCTGGCGAACCCGCGCGGGAGGCGCGCCGTTGGGCAGCGGGCCGCCGAGGCGAGGCTGCCGGGCGACCCCTCGACCCCGTGCCCGAAGAGTCGCGGCCGGCCCGCAATGCGCGGCTGCGCTGCGTTCGCGGGGAAGGCCACGCCGCGTTGCTGCAAGACCCTGGTCAGCTGGATGTACGCCGCGCCAGCGGCGCGCAGCAGGAGGAAGCTGAGGCCCTCGTGCCCGATCATGAATTGACCAGCTCGCTGCGCCCCCTTGTGGAGGATGTCGAAACGTGGGAGAAAATTGTCAACGTGTTCTTGCGGCAATCGGTTGAAGTTCATCAGTGCCGACGCTGCCGAAGCGCGCTCCTCTTCGCCCAATCAACGCCGCCGCCTGGCCAAACTGCGCATCTGGAAAGTAGCCGGTGGCACTAAGTTGCCGTTGATGAGCCCCCCCTGGATCAGGACAACGGGCGGCCATTCGCCCACGCGCTCGCGCGCCATGCTGGCGAGGCGTGACGAGACGCAGGCCGCTTGGCGAAACTCGCTGAAGTCTGAGTTCGCCACTGACCAGATCATCAACTTGCGCGCACATCTTTGGAAGGGCACGCGAGCCTGCTGCTCTGGCCCCCAAGGGCGAAGATGACGCATAATGTAGTTCCCTCCGCGTGTCGTAGAAGTGCTAGAGGTCGGCCAACGGTGCTGCTCAGGAAGGGTGCCTAGGAACCGCCGTGGATACTTGACCCAGATGTGCTCCTCCTCGTCTGCGCATTGGGCGCATGCTTCCGTCGCGCAATTGTGGTGCTCTCGGTGATCGGAGCATCCCGCGACACAATCACGGGAATACTCTTCGTACGTCGTGTTGTCATTGTATTGAGTACCGACAGCTGCACGATCGCCAAGAGAAGTGCGCATCGGGACCCAGCCCTGACAGGCTGCAAGGACTGCGCGGGTAAGATCAGAGGTCATGCTCCACAAGATCAAAGACGGGTTCCCCCAGATCCGCTGCGCTGTCCCTCGGAGTGCTGGTAACACGGTTACCAAGCCCTCCATTGGCTCCTCGCTCTTCTCAGCCTGTGCCTCTCGGGGCTCTGGCGAAGTAGTCGCCAGGAGTCCAAGACCCTCGACCGACATGCACCATGTATGTCAACATTGTATCGAGCAGCTGTCCGACATTATTGGTTGTTCCCGCAGACGGGTGTAACGAAGGCGTAGGGTCCGCGAGCTGCGCCGACGCAGTGCAGTCAGCGCAAGCCCGGGAGGGATGTCCGATAAAGCCGACGCGTGGCCAAGGTCCTTGAAGGTCCCGTTCGCGTATTTGTGGCGGTACTGGTTGCGCACGTTCCCCACCACTGGTCCGGGAGGCGGAGCGGCGGGCGGCTGCCCCGAAGGTGAACGGGTAGAAATGCACGAACGCGATGAAGGCGGATGACCAGCGCGGTGGACAGCTGGTTGTATGAACGTGGTCGTGAAGGCGATGGAGAGCTGGAACCAGCGCAATCGATGCGAAGCGACAACGACCAACCATTTCGGCCGTGGTATTGGAGCCGAAGCTCAGCTACCAACTGGAGGAACCGATGTTACAGGTGAATATGGAAGCGGTTGTTTTCCGATGGACGGAACGAAAGCGATGAACGCGAGAATACTGTGGGCACGGTACACTAAAATCAGGCCTTGGGCCAAAACAGCGGCGGGCCCAGGCAAGGAAAGGATAACAAGGACAGCGCGTAAGAGGTGACACGGGCGTGTCGCCCGCACGGGGAGGGGGCTCGGGTACCGTTCGGGTACGAAGAGGAGGAGGAGGAGGAGGAGGAAGAGGAGGAGGAGGAGGAAGAGAAGGAGGAGGAGGAGGAGGACGAGGAGGAAATGGAGGAGGAGGAGGAGGACGAGATGGAGGAGGAGCAAGAGGAAGAGAAACATGAAGGAGGATACTATGGCGACGGAGGAGGAGGCGGAGTAGAAGAAGGCAGAGCGTCATGATATGATCCACAATAGAGGAGGAAGAGGAGGAGAGGGAGCAGGGGAAAGGAGGAGGGGGAGCAGATGAATGAGAAGGAGGACATGGAGGAGAGCCTTCTCTTCTGCCCTCCCACCATCGCTCGTTCCCTCCTCCCCCTTTTCCTTCTCCTCCCCTCCTCCTCTCCCTCCCTCCTCCTACTCATTATCCGCCTTCTCCTCCTCCTCCTCCTCAAGGCATCTCCTCCTTCGCCTGCTCGTCGCCAGCAGGTTGCTCGCGGAAGCGGCGCTCGGACGCGCTGCGGCCGCTACTCTCGTGGCTGCAGGCACCGCGCCCCCGCGCCGCGCTGCCCTCCCGCGAGGGGCCTCCGCGTGAGCAGCAGGAGGACGAAGGAGAGAGAGGAGGACGGAGGGAGGGAGGGAGGGGGGGGAGGGAGGAAGCGAGGAGGAGAGGGACCAGTGGAAACCCAAGGCGCATCAACGATGTTGCAATACACGCTCCCTCTAAATTTCCTCTTCGTCGGTCCCTACAAGAATGTGTTCTCGCTTCCGGAAGTGGCCTGTTGGAAAATAACGATTGCACTTTGCGGTTGCGTCCTGGCGGTCCTGCGTCGCGCTAGAACATCGCTCTTGCAACTTCAACGCCGCGAGTCAGCATGACCGCTACGCCCTGACAGCCCTAAATCGTGCCAGAACACGATTTCTGAGACGCCCACCATAATCATTCATTCAACGGATGTAAAATGTTAAAACGAATGTGCGCGGGGCTAAGGCGAGAACCACATGTTGGAAACGGCCTGTCCACCCGACATACTCTTAAGACAGATGCGCATGACGCTAAGGCGAGAATCAAATGTTGAAAACGACCCACCCTCCATCCGTCAAGCTCTTGCAAGCTATTAATTATGTGCGCGGCGTCGAGGCGAGAGCCGCATTTTGAATACGATCCGCCTTCCATCCGTGAAGCTCTTGCAACGTTTAAGACGAATGCGCGCGGCCCTAAGGCGATAGCCACACTTTGAAAACTTTGAAAAGAGCCGCCCTCTATCCATGACGCTCTTCCAAACTTTTAAGACGAAGTGCGTGGCGGTAAAGCGATAACCACATGTTGAAAACGACCCGCCCTCCATCCGTGAAGCTGTTGGCCACGATCCCTTGTAATTTACGTCAGGTTTGCGCTCGGAGAAGGAAACGAAGCGTTCAACAACAACTCCAACATCTCAAGGTGCTTGCTGAACACGAACCGCCCTCGCATAATGCTTCCAAAAGTTTTCAAAACAGCGCCGACACGTCCCAGCATAGCTCTGACAGCGCCCATTCTGATAGAGGGGGGGCCGGCGGCACAGGGCGAAGCCCTTATACAACTTCAGAACTCAAAAAGACAATCCGCCAGAATTCTGGGACTCGGGTTTCGGCGGCCGTTCGGAACGACCCGGGCACCCCCAGACGCCTCTCGGCGAGGCGCAGCTGCCGGAAGGCATCCCGAGTCTGGAAAGCCGCCGAAAACCAACGAAAACGTCAGAACATCCACTCAGAACCGGACTGGAGGAGGAAGAGGATAAGTGTGGAGGAAGAGGAGGAGGAGGAGGAGGAGGAGGAGGAGGAGGAGGAGGAGGAGGAGGAGGAGGACGAGGCGGCGGAGCCGGAGGAAGAGGAGGCCGAGGGTGCGGAGGCACGGGTAGAGGCTGACGAGCGACGACACGACGACCGTCCCCTGTCCCCCGTCCCCGTCACCTCCTTCCCCCTTCCGTTCCCCGCCACCTCCTTGCCCTCCCGGGCCGCCCGCGCAGGTGCGCTGCTTTCGCTGTTTCACTTCCTTTCCTCCCCCCCGTCTGGGTCAGGGGCCGTTGCCCGCAGGCCGTGGGGGTGTACAGGTGCATTCGAATTGGACGGCGCCCTCACACGCCTGACCCCGGTGGCCACCCATCCTTGAAGTGGGAAGGGTGCCGGGGTCGCGGTTTGTGGAGGAGGAGGAGGAAGAAGAGGAGGAGGAGGAGGAGGAGGTCATCCCTTTGCACCTCCAGGGGCCAGACTCAGAGAACTGTCCAAGGAGCTCCAGGTCAGGACCAATGCTGCTGAACGGATCTATCCGCGTCACTATCCCCAACTCTCGGAGGCAGCCCTTGAGGGCCGTGTTACGAGCATGTCGATCACGAGGTGGCCAGGTAGGCTGCTTTATGCAATTAACCCGAGTTTCGAGCTAAGAGCTGCCTTTCACTCGTACCACTGGCCGAGATTATTGACTCTTGACCGCGCAGCTACTCGTTTGTAGCTAGACCGAGGACTAGTTGCAGGCAGTTCTACAGACACCTAAGAGGTGAATTGTTCAATACGGCCAGGCGTGCAAGAGTTGAAGCCGCAGCTGGCTAATTGCGATATGAGCATTTCTATCGTTTATTCCCTACCTAGGCTCTGCCTAGAGGGTTCTTACTTTGTTCCCTACCTAGGCTCTGCCTAGAAGAGTTCTTACTCTCTTAGCTTAAAGGGGCCGGGCAGTGTAAACCGCCCCGGGCGGTTCCCCCCGTCCCCGCCCCGCGGTTCCCCCAGTTGCGCCCCCTGGGTTCACCCAGCTTAGCTTAGCTTCAGCTTAGCTTGAGCTTAGCTTGAGCTTAGCTTTAGCTGAGTTCTAGCTTAGCTTTAGCTTAGCTTTAGCTTAGCTTTAGCTTAGCTTCAGCTTAGCTTTAACTTAGATTTAGCTTAGCTTCAGCTTAGCTTCAGCTTAGCTCTAGTTTAGCTTTAGCTTAGCTCTAGCTTAGCTTCAGCTTAGCTCTAGCTTAGCTTTAGCTTAGCTCCAGCTTAGCTTCAGCTTAGTTTTAGCTTAGCTTTAGCTTAGCTCTAGCTTAGCGTTAGCTTAGCTTCAGCTTAGCTCTAGCTTAGCTTTAGCTTAGCTCTAGCTTAGCTTTAGCTTAGCTGTAGCTTAGCTTCAGCTTAGCTTCAGCTTAGCTCTAGCTTAGCGTCAGCTTAGCTCTAGCTTAGCGTCAGCTTAGCTTCAGCTTAGCTTTAGCTTAGCTCCTGATTAGCTTTAGCTTAGCTTTAGCTTGGATTCAGCTTAGCTTTAGCTTAACTTTAGCTTATCCTTAGCTTATCCTTAGCTTAGCTTTAGCTTAGCTTCAGCTTAGTGTTAGCTTAGCTTTAGCTTAGCTTTAGCTTAACTTTAGCTTAGCCTTAGCTTAGCCTTAGCTTAGCTTCAGCTTAGCTTTAGCTTAGCTTTAGCTTTTTTTCTTAGCTTTAGCTTAGCTTTACTGTTACTACTAATGCTGCTTTTCTGGGGGCTCCAACTCCTAGGTAGGGTCGCACTGGGATAATTTGCTTAAAGGGGCCAGGCAGTGTAGGCCGCCCCGGGCGGTTCCCCCAGTCCCCGCCCCGCGGTTCCCCCAGTTGCGTCCCTTTAGCTTAGCTTTGCTTATCTCATCTTAGCTTAGCCTAGCTTAACTTAGCTTAGCTTAGCTTAGTTTAGCTTAGCCTAGTTTAGTTTAGCTTAGCTTTGCTTGGCTTAGCTTAGCTCAGCTCAGCTTAGCCTAGCCTAGCTTAGCATAGCTTAGCTTAGCTTAGCGCAGCATAGCTGAGCGCAGCATTAGCGCAGCACAGCACAGCACAGCACAGCACAGCACAGCATAGCTCAGCATAGCATAGCATAGCATAGCAATGCATAGCATAGCGCAGCATAGCATAGCATATCATACCATAGCATTGCTTAGCATACCACAGCGCAGCATAGCATACCATAGCACAGCACATCATAGTATAGCATAGCATAGCGCAGCGCAGCATAGCATAACATAGCGCAGCATATCATATCATAGCATAGCCTGGCATAGCATAGCGCAGCATAGTCTAGCATAACATAGCATAGTGCAGCATATCATAGCATAGCCTAGCATAACACAGCGCAACCGAGCGTACCCTAGCATGTAGATGTGAGTCTCGCTGTTGATGTTAATGTAGATGTATATGCAGGTGTAGATGTTAATGTAGCTGTCGGTGTAGATGTAGATGTTGTTTTCCTAGATGCTCCAACTCCTAGGTAGGGTCGCACTGGAACAATATTCCGTTGAATGCCGTCGCTGCGTCCCAGGACGAGTGCTTCAGCACTCTCATCATAGCGCTTCCAAAGGGCATTTCCCTGCTCCAGGACCGTTTGGGGCTCCCGTTCTCCATGGGTAAATTCGCTACCACTGCGAACCAGCTTGAGATACTTCAGAGGGCTCAGGAGGTTCTAGGCATGTTGGCTGAGAAGGCTTAATCTAATATCAACTGGCTGGGGGCTGAGTTCTCGGCTGGCAGGAGACCCAAAGTTGCTAAGGGAACCCGAAGGACTCGTAAGACCAGGTGGAAAGCTGCACTCAAGAGGACCCCGAAGGTCGTGGCAATGAAGATTTCTTCGGCCCAACACAAGGCCAATTTCTCTTCTACGGGATCCGACCTTCCTTGCAATACGCGCAGGACGTCCCTTGGAACCTACCGCGAGATCTTGCCCGACAAAGGTCGGAGGTTGCAAGGACCGTAGGTCTAGTCAGCGCTGGGAATAACCCTGATCTTGCGTGGGCCCTCTGCGCCAACAAGGATCCCTTGCGCGGGGCCTCGGCTGCCTTCCGCGAGCTTGCCAGGGAGTGGTGGTGTGCCTCGGAGCCCCGTCTGAGGACCCACGACGGCCTGGATCCTGGCACCCTCAGTAGAACTGCCCACGCTGCCCAGCGGGATGTGTTGGAACATCCGACGGCCAGCTGGGTTGCACGGTCGCAGGGGCCCCTGCACGAGGCTATTGAATAGCCTCGTGCAGGGGCCGGTTGCACGAGGCTATTAAATAGCCTGGGTTGCACGAGGGCGCACAAAATAGCCGCTGTCTTGTGTGGCTATCGGAGGCGGGCTGGTCGCTCAGCGCGGCCGGCATGTTACAGAGGAGGGACGGCTCGCGCACCCCGACTTGCAGGAGGCCTGCACGGCAAACGGTGTGGGAAAGCTCCTGGTTGACGTTTCTTCGGGCGAGGGCGATCTCCGTGAGCGGGTTTTGCGGACCAGGCGCTGTGCCCAGGTTTCCAACAGCACCGAGATGCTCAAATGACCTTTCAGCCAGTGGTTCGTGGCGTTATTGCCATCGCGTTCCCCATCGCCAAAATACGCTCCTGGGGGTTCAGATTTGAGCCCGCGTGGTCGTGTTGTCATCGTCTCGACTCGATTTGGCACAGAGTGTGGAAGTGTTGCCACTTTGCATTGCAGAGGGCGGAGATGATCGACCCCGAGCTCGTAGCCGAGGCTTTGCAGGCATGGCCCCAGTCCCTGCTCTTTTCGTGCCTGTGAGTGGCAGAGCCACGTGCGGACCACTGGCCCATCCGAGACGAGTGCCCGACGCACGTCGATCACGGATG